TCATTCGATTCGGAATCACCTCTAGAAGAATGTTTTTGAAGGATTTTGGTGCAGGTAAAAAATTGCAATTGTTTGTAACAAAATAAGATTGAAAAAAATCGTATTTAGTTTTTTGTTACTAACTCAAAAAATATTAATATATGAGCAATTTTTAAAAAATCTTGTTAAAGATGAGGAAATTTCCGATAAAAAAGTGTCGACTCCCGAAACTTTATCTCCATTATTAATAAATTTAATTTGACGTTGAAAATAGGGTTCCGCGCGGCTGTTACGGCATGCGCGCGCTGCTGCTAAACAATTAAAAATTAAAATTAAGAAAACGGGACTCGATTCATTCAAGTATTAAGAAGATACTAGATTTTTTTCAAATTTTTAAAATGACATTTTATGTTATAAAAAAAATATTTCTTTCGAAAGTCAAATTAAAATTGTAAATAATAGAGATAGATAGAGTCTTCAACGAACTTTTTTCAAAATTGCTTGAATATCAATATTTTTTGAGTTATTAACGAAAAACTAAATAACATTTTTTTAATCTTATTTATCAACAATGTTTCGCAATTGATAGAAATACTACTTCCAGTCTCCTTCACCAATATAATAGACGATTTAACCGTTAACGAATCTATTTGATGTTCTCAAACCAAAAGTCATGTGTCATCCCAACTCACTTCAGAAAACATAGGACGAACTTTCACTAGATATTGCTTCTGACAACATCACTTCATCCTTGTTACGTTCCTTTGGAAAAGCTTGTCTCAAGGCCGTAAATTTTACAGAATCTGGTGCTTGGTTGAATACACTACCTCTTGCTACTTTGGGAATACTATTAGATAATGATACTTTAGGGTTTAGATATTTGAACTCCTCATAAATGTATTTGTGGTAGTGAGGTATATGAAAAAGGTACTCATAGATTGAGCTGCAGAAAGACTTCCTGGACATTTTTCAAGGCATCCCCAAGTCAACGACATAATAAAAAAGGTCTTGATACCACCTGGGATACCGTCTATCCTAGAACTACTAGTTACTAGCCGTGATGATGGCAAACGCCCTGAAGAATGGCCCTTGTTCCCTGAAAATGTAGCAAAGCTGCCGTTTGAGATTTCACATGTGCGGACACATTGACTCCATCTCATTTAGTTGAAACGTCAGAAAAATACAGGTGCCCGTACCATATCTAGTGAGAAAGCAAAACAGCAGAAATATCGAAATGCTAGAAATAATTTTATATTTTATCCTGTGGCTGTAGAAACTTTCGGTGTATTTGGTTTATTACCTCTTAATTTTTGTTAATGAAACTGGCAGAAGAATGACTGAAGAAATTAAAGAAAAAATATGTACCACCTTTCTGACCCAAAAAATTAGTTCAGCTATACAGCGTGGTATTTCAGATTCTGTTTTTGGCACCATTCCATCATCACATTCCCTGGATGAAATTTCTCTTCATCCCATTTTTGCCAAATGGGGGCATAAGAGATTGATTCCTCATAAAAAGATTGATGAAAATCCACTATGAAGCGCGCACACTGTGGAGATTCATCAGTAACCTTCGATCCTTTCTGGGATTTGTCCCTCTTCATACTACCAACTGGGTTCGTCATAATGCTTGGATTCCTTTACAAGAGAGAAAACTCTGGATGGAGATGAAAAACCAGCGTGTTCGAAGTGCAGGGAAAGAAGAAAATGCACAAAGTCAATCCATAAGTTTCCCCGTATTTAAGTAATTCATTAAAAAATATTCTCTCCAACGCGAAGACTCAGAGGCAAATTGAATGTTGTCATTGACTTTCCTTTAGAAGGATAAGTTATGAGCAATTATGCCGCAGACAATGTCGTTTGTCGTTTCAATCTATATGTACTTTCGAATCACCGTGAGAATACTTACAACGGGTATCACACAACATATTGCAGACACCCATACAATGGCACGTGGCATGAATACAACGATTCACACTTGTCCTCAATTTCACAAAAATCACTTGTGAGTGATGATGTCCCCTTTTATGAACAGGAAGGAACTAAGCAGAAACTTTGATGTGATTTTTTTCTTCTTTTTTTTATGAACTAAATTCTGTCAATTCATTTGTATTTCATCATTTTTCTGCTCTGATTACTGTATTACAAATAAATTAATATTTCAAAAACGAGATTTGGCAAACCAGGGTACCTTATTAACGGTTTATCATCCCCAGTAACAAAATTCACAAGTTTACGGAAAGAAAATATCGAGGAAATACTGGTTCAGATTGGGATGAGGAACTGAATTTGAAGTAATGCGTTTGAAACAGTCTAAAGATATTTCAAAATATTGAATATCATTGCAAATTTCGTTAAAGGTTTTAAACATTCTATAAAGTGGTGAATTTTGAGCATCATTTGTCCTTGTGCAAGTTAACTTAAAGAATTATGTGCGCCTCAACGTTCTACCCTGAACATTAAACTCAATTTTGGAATGAAGATCTGGGCAGTGGACTAATCCTTTCATCAATTTGAAAATCATGATGAGATCCGTAACAGTTCTTCTATCCTTCATAGGCATAATATTGTATTGGCGCATAATGGGTCTGTAATCGCTATTCGTAATTGAAATATTTAATTTGTGATTAATCCAGCGAAGAAATTTGTTTTAGACTCTTTCAATACGATCTATGTTTATGTGGTACTAAGGATTCCAAAAAACCGATGCAAAGCAGAGCCTACTATGTACATATGCATAATATAAATTGAGGAGAGGTTTTGCCGTTCTGAAGTTTTGACAGTTTCCTTTTGAGAAATCCAATAATACTATTACATTTATTGACGGTTTTTTCTATCTGTGAATTAAATGACAACTTCGAGTCCATAATTATTCCCAAGTCTTTAACTTCTGAAACTGATTTCAGTTCGTGATTTTCAAAGTAATAATTATTTCTGATTATATGTTTGTTTCTGGAGAATGAGATTGACACGCATTTCAGTGGATTGAGAAACAAATCATTATCATCACAGAATTTTTTGAGCCGCTTCAAGTCCTCCTGAATTTCTCCGCTGTCAAATGAATCCTTTACTGTGTGATAGATTTTCAAATCATTTCATATACTGAAAATTTACACTTATTAAAGCAACTAGAGATTTCGTTGATGTATATAATGAAGAATAAAGGACCCAAATGGCTGCCTTGAGGAACTCCGGAGGATACCGTGAAGAGGAGTGACGTAAATCCATTTATGGCCACAATTTGTGACCTGTTATACAAATAGGACCATATCCATCTCAATAAAAAGTCATTCACACCGACTTCAGCAAGTCTCTTTAATAGTTTTGTGACTAATCTTATCAAAGGCCTTACTGAAGTCGGTGTATACAACATCAACCTGAAGCTGTTTATCCATCGAGTTTAACAAAAAATCGGTGAATCCTATGAAATTAGTTTCTATCGACCTATGGGGGAAGAAACCATGCTGTTCACTGATTATGATGCCCTTCACCGTATCAGAGATATTATTATATATTATTTTTTCAAAAAGTTTGCCAAATACACATAATTTACTGATCGGCCTATAATTCTTTACATTGTGCCATTTGGCAGGAAAAATTCCACTCTGCAATGATTTATTGAAAATATATAGTAGAGGCGAGACAAGGTTGTTCTTGCACTGCTTAACAAAGGAAACGGGTATATCATCAGGACCTCCACATTTTTTATATCTAGCGAGTTAATAGCTGTCAGTAAGGTATATTCATTTATTTCGAGGGATTCGACTGGGGAGATGAGGAAAGTTGGATCAAATATGTCAATAGGTTGGATGCAGTTGTTTTTGAAATTTTTAGCGAAAAGGTTACAAATTGTGTCCCCGGTATCTGCAGTTTTATTGTCAAGATATAACGAGCTTGGGATACAATTTGTATTTTTTCTCAAATTTTTAATGAATTTCCAAAACATTTTCGAATTCCTATTGATTTCTTCTTCTATATTTTTAGAATACTCCAGAAAATCACGTCGAATGAGTTCCTTAAAACGCGCTCGCAGGTTTTTGAATTCCAAATAGTCGATTTGGTTTTTGTATATTTTAAATTTTTTGTGTACTCGGTTTTTTTTCAATATGATTTGATATTATATCTATAGATTTATCTACATATTGATATTCTACATTATATTCCTGAAATTTCGAGTTTCAGAAGTCTTCAACTGCATAAATGATGCAAGTACAAAAGCAAAAGCAGCTCTAGCCTATATCAGAACAAATTACGTAAATAGTTTTCCTGTTTTATTTGTGATGACCAAATAGAAAGTAGCTCCAATCAAACCTACTGCTTTTTCAAGATTGAAACTAAACAACGGTGCTGGCATGTAGAATCTCGAAATTCATTTCAGGAGATCATAACATGAAATTTGACTGCTTGTTTTTAGTCAGACCAAAAAATAGTGATGGCTGGCTGTAATGAACGATTTCTGAAAAAAATAATCTTTTTGTGGCCCATGAAGTAGTCAAAATACAAGAAATAGCAAATTTAGAAATGTAGGCGACTGGCACTTGATTTCCATCAAAGAGAACATCGCTAACGATGCTACAAAATTCAACAAAATTATCGACTGGGAAAAACAGTAACAATTGGATAGAGGGCCCCCAATTTTTGAAAACAAATGAGGTTCAATGGAACTTGTAATATTTTCAATCAGAACCCAATACTATGAAATTGAAAAAATAATTTTTAGCTACAACTGTTGAGTACTATGGATTTGATCACCTACCAGATTCTCATCATGTTCTCCTGAGGACGAACTGCGTCATCAGTAGAACATGATGCCGTAAGAACAGTTGACCTATGGTAGGTTTTAATGGACCTATGGTCCATTAAAAGATTTCGAAGATGAAGACTTGACTACAAATCATTTCCTGACTGACACATTAAGTTCTTTAAATCCCGCTGGGATTTTTCCCAGTGTGTCCTACAGACTTGAAGTGATCGCAATTTATCAGTGACATCTTCTGGAACAGATGGGTGAAGGACTAACTTCCGAGTTTGACGATATAGACAAAATAGTTTCCCAGTGATCCAAGAGGCGTAAAAGTGGGAGATGTTGTTATCGTGGCTTAGGGAAGTTTACCTCGTAATTGTTGGGCGAAAGAAATGGTTATTGATGTTCATGCTGGTCATGTACTGGTGGTGATATTAGAACAGCAAAAATAAAGACTTTCAACAGGATTTATCAAAGACCTGTCGTTGAACTATGTATTTAAAATGTTTCTCAATTTCAACTCCAATAGTGGAGAATGTTAGTACATGAATATTATAGTTTTACCAGGTATATTATTGACTTCTGAGCCCTGGTCTATTCCATGCATCAATTACATCTTCAATTTCTTTTCGAGTACTTTTTAAATACATTCTATAATTTTCATTGACTTTTACTGGGACTACTCACCATTCACAATATGAAAGAAATGAATAATTTAATATGACAAGTTACTACTAACCCAAAATTTTCCTTTGAGAAAAACTTTCACCTTTTCTAGACCTGTTTAAAGTACTGCCTTAATAATCCTATTTTTTTAGATCTTGGACGGTAAATAGTCTCAGAAAAGGTTAATTAAAATCCCTCAACAAAAAATGACTACCTTCAAATATTCTCGTCTTTAAATATTTTATTGTCCATTATATCAAAAATTTTCCATCAAAAACTGAGCTATAACCGAATATTCTTCTCAAACAAACTGTCAGCATGGGGTAACAATAGGAGTCAATAATTACTTTTTCGATGTTCAAATAGTTGACAACAGTATTACATAAATAAAGACTTAGCTTGTTGAATAACAATCAACATTATCCTCACATATATAAACTCTCTCAAAAGGCACCATCATCAGTAATTCGCTAGATAACGAATAGTATTCAATCCCAGTAATTCTTATCTTCAACTACCAAAATGAAATACTTATTAGCATTTGTTTTTCTTGTCATTGTTGTAGTGGCAAGGTGCCAAGATGCAGGACATGAACCAGTTGAAGAAAAACTGACGAAAGGTAAAAAAATTTAATTTCATGTCATAGATACATTAATGCGCCATAACTTATTCCATACATTACTTCCATAAATATTAATATATTTAATTTTATATAAAACACAGCAAAACAAAACTCATAGAAGAGAACTGTTTTATTCTCTAATAATTTATGAATATTATAAAAATTATGTCAAGGTATATATTGCTAAGAACTATGAGCTGATGAATTGGTATTAATTTATCCCAAATTGTGTAGATTTCAAGCAAGTAATTGATGGAGAAAGTGTGGAAGACCTATCATTTCATTTTTTGAAAACATGGTACAATGTATATTACACTATATTCAGATATTAGGTACATTCAGATAAAGTGACATAATTGCAGAAAAAATAGTTTTACATCACAATAAAATAACATCAAAGTATTATGCAAGTTAAAGCGCATTGGTAAAAAAGTAGAAAAAGAATATAATATATTCATGATATTCTGATAATACAAGTATAGTACAAGTATTGAAGAAGATTTTCATGGACAAAAACCATCTCAGAAAATGTAAAGAGAAGCATAGTTCAAACAATGAAAGAACACGAGATCACATTGAATAATAATTCGGGACACTGAGAAAAATAGTTTATGTCAAATATCATTCATTCCTGAAATATGTGATACTAAACCCCGAATTTCGAATCGTTGAATGTAAAAATAAATCCAATGAAATGAACGGATGTGAAATGTGAATATTGCGTCAGTGTTTCAACTTTTAAATTTTCACGCATTTCAATGAATGGTAATGGTGTACCAAAAACTGTCAGTGATGACTCACTAAGTTCATGTAGCTATGTTTCAGCCTAAAGTACTCAAATCTTTTTTTTCTGTTTCAGAACAAGTGATTGATATAATCAATTCAAAACTTCCACCCGATAATGGAATATGTTTCAATCCAAGATGTAAGTTGAACTGTGTAGCAGAAGGTCATAGAGCAGGATATTGCACAGCAAATATATGCTCTTGCATTCTGTAATTTTTGCATAATGTTATCTACTATAACGAACGGATATCGAAACCCAACCGAATTATTTAGACTTAACTTTTTGAAATATAATAAATAATAAATTATTTACTTGTTAATGTCTAATTATTTCCACCCGCCTACTCGTTAGAACAGAACTCATTATTGGTTATAAAAAAGCTTTTTTTTCAGTCAATATTATCATGAAAATATTCAAGAATGAGTAATTCATAATTATATGATGAATACTTTCAACAAATCACCGAGCTGAAAAAGAAGGAAACAACATTAAATATTGAATGAAATATTCCAAATCAAGGTTATCATATAATCATTGCAATTTGAAACAAAATTTTGGCAAATATTTTCTTGGTTCATTCACGAAATAATGATACAGATGAGTATGATGTCGGCTTAGCAGGAATTTACTTGAATTCACCTACTTATGTGACTTCACAAAAGTGACTGAATTGAAAGATATAAAATATAAAAAATTATTCTGTTTTTATATAAGCATTCATCTTCTTTGGCTGCGTACCATTTTTTTTTCATCAACTAAGACGAAAATTTATTAGATATCCTGAATTCAGCAACTTCTGAATAAAAATTTGGAATTGTTACCCAGAAAAATTCCATTCATTTCGAAAAATATTTTTGTAGTTGGAAAATAATATAAAACGATGAAAACAGAAATAATTTCAATACTTACGGATTTATCACTTATCATCTTCATACAACGATGTGTCAGTGTCAATAAACCTACAAATCATTTTTTGAGATGAATTTTACCCAGAAATGTCTTGTTTACACGAAGTATGAGTGTAATGTTGTCAGCAAAGCAAAAAAATTTATTGAAATATATTAGAACAAACGTTTATTGCTTCCAAGGAATTTACTTGTATGATTTTTCACAAAAGTGAATTGAAATAGTTGAAAGATATAGTAGGTTATGAATTCATATTAACTCTTGAATCAACAGCTAAGATATTCGTTTTCAGATTTATTCATTATTTGCATCCCATTTGAGAAGTAAAGTAACTTTTTACAATAATTCCATTCATTTCGTCACCAATTACAAAAATGAAATCATATATTACTCAAGAGGAATATATTAGAGTGAATTAGGACTAAATACTCGTACACTGTTAAAAATGATTATGAAAAACATGGATATATACTGTGCTCTTCACAATATTTATAGGGTAACTTCAGTTTTACACAATAAAAAGCGTGATAATGGAAATCACAGAATATCATATGTGAACCAAAGGGTTAAGTAAAAATACGTTGTGAAATTAAATAAATCACAGAAGATTCTAGGTGTACAGTATTGAGAACAGTTTCTCAACTGTTCTCATTACTGTACAGAGTAAAATTCATATTCACCCTTTTAACCAATTTCCTTCCTATTAATACTTGGGGTTTTGAAAACGTAGTAAAATAATTACAATGAAAATAATATTTTATTCCGAAGTACAATGTAATTTAGCATACTGCAACACAGTAAAATAGAATTTCTCATAACTGATTCATACATAATAACTCGCGTGAAGTAGGGTTTTATTTTACGTGATACTACAAATGATAGTTACATATATTTCTACATTATAAATACTGTAATACATTTATAATAAGTCATGTGATTTTCTGCATTTATGGTCAAAAATTACAATGGAGATTGTGAAAATTACAGTACTTGTACGGTAAAATCACATGACTCAATATGTATGTTCACAGAGGGTTCTCACCGAATTAATTTGGTAATATGACGTTCACAAAAATCCCTGTGATACCACATGATTTTACGTTGGTTACAAAAAGGCCAACGTAATATTATGTGATTTCACAAAATTAATTTTTGCAGTGTACGCCTTATTATGATTTTTTTCGTGCATAACAGAATGTAACATGTTTTCTTTCAACTTTCATGTAGAAATTATGAATAATTCAAGAAAACAATGATTTCATCAATTCAAAAATAATGATGAAACATTTCATGTGAAAATTTTTAAGAAAATATATAGAACAGGGAAATTCCATTTTATTTATTATACTCTCATTTGCAGAAAAAAAATCAAACTGATCACTGGTTCCATCAAAAATATAAAAAATAATGATTCTGTTTCTATAATCATTCATCTTCTTAGGCTGCGTGGCAATTTTTTTTCCATCAACCAGGATGAAAATTTATTACATATCCTGGATCCAGCAACTTCTAAATAGAAATTTGGAATTGTTACCCAGAGAAATTACATTCTTTTCGAATAATATTTGTGTAGTTGGAAAATAATATAAACGGATGAAAACAGAAATAATTTTAATAATTACGGAATTATCACTTATCATCTTCATACACGTATGTGGCAGTGTCAATAAACCTACAAATTATTTTTTGAGATGAATTTTACCCTGAAATGTGTTGTTTATCTTACAATGGAAAAATAACACGTGTTGGTTCGAATGTAAATATTGAATTAATGTTTCAAAAAACACATGATTTCTTCTTTACTTGAACATAATATGTAAACTTCAGTTGGTTTTTAGAAACGCACATTCACACAGAGGTCCACTACCACCTAGAAATGATATTTGTCATATTAATATCAGAAAAACTAACAATCCAAATTCATATGATACTTGTAGAACAGAAAAATGGACGATCATGTTCTTCATTACATGAGTATTAAAGCTGATTGAAGCATTTTAAGAAATACTTGATGAAATCATATTCAATAAGTTTTAGTAGAAATAAATATACAAAGCGACCCAAAATGGTTAAAAATGAGCATGAGTTGTAAAGTTGCCAACTGTGCTGGGCCACTTACTATCTTACATAGCCTATTGCATCGCGATGCAACTGTAGTATGAACAACCTGAGAAAGTATTATATAGTAGAACACTTGTTTCGGTTTTGTAAACTACGAGGAATACTATTTATATTTCGGGAATAGCAAATCATAACAAATATTTTGTAATGAAAGTGGTTTTGTTGTTTTCCGAAATATTCTCCTTGATAATCAGTTCACTTTTGCATTCATTCTAACCATTTGTCAAAGCAGTTTTTCTATTCCTCTTGAGATACCTCCAAAACATGGTTTTTAGACGCTTCAACTGCTTCTTCGGTGCTCGTAAATCGTTGACCACGAAGTTTGACTGTGATATTCCGGAACAAGAAGAAGTCATTGAACCAATCAGGACTGTGCGGAGAATGAGTTATCAATTCGAAGTTTTGAGTGAACGAAAATTCACCTGTGTGATGATATGTGTGAGAGCTCGCATTGTCATGATGGAGAATACTTCGTCTTCGGCGGTTAATTTTACGAATTTCTCCGAAGACTTTCGGCAAACAAATGCTCGTGTACCACTCAGAATTGACCGTTCTATATTGCTCAAGCAGAACAGTGGCCACTTTACCCATTCGGCCGAAGAATTTGCTTCTCTGTGTTTCTTTCACGAACAAATTTTGTTGGATTTAGCTCGATTTGGAATACCCACACGGTCGATTGCTGATTTGTTTCCGGCTCATATGCATATATCCATGATTCATCACATGTCACGATTTCATACACGTATTTTGAAGCACCACAGTCGAACTTTTTAATCATTCCCTTACACCACTTAACGCGAGCCTTTTTTAAGCGATTGATAAATTATGGGGTAGGTATCCAGCGAGAACATTTTTTTACAACTAAGTATTCATTCAAAATCAAATGTATTGAAGTGGAACTAATGTGCAAGGATGCCTACTATTTTGCAAGGTCACTACTAACTTTTTTGACATTTCAATTTTCTATTCAACAGTTTTTTATTTTTGGAAATCGGATCAGCCGTTCTTGAGTAATTAGCAGTTTTATATTCGTTCCAAGTATCTACAAATAAACGATAAATATCATAATATCAGGAATAACTTGGTCAAAACTCACTCCAGGTCGTTCTGAAGAATATTTAAAATGTTCACCATTCGCTTCCTGACATTAAGTTTGTACATAAATTCATTGCTTACATTATTGAATGTTTCGGGAGTGAATTTGTCAGGAGTTTATCTAACCATAGACTGGGATTATGTAACATATACTTCATATTCGTGTACTGTATTGCTCTCACATCACTGAATATTTCAAAGTTTATATTTCGGTCAGACACTTGAAGTGAGACTCTCTTGTCGATTACACAGCTATCAACAATAAAAACAAGTAAGCCCTATTGTTCGTACTTTAACTTAGCTGGATTTACAATTGGGTGAGTTACCTATAGTCTATCCATTCCCAATTGGAACGGCAATAAAAATAAGAGTACAGTCATAAACATTTCTTGTCTGTGGCAGTAGTTGTTTACAGCTGATTCTCGGCCTCCCCCCACCACTATGACGTATTAATTGCTTTTTTTATTGGTTNTGAAGGCGGCTGAAATCCAGAAAAATGCTAGATCGTTCACATTCGAAGTGGAACAGCTATCGTTGAAAGTAGAGAAGTTGACATTGAACACTTAGTATTTGGAAAGGAGAACAGGAAAAAATAACATCTTAGTCTTTGTAGTGAGAAACTTGCCTGTAGGAAATGAGTTGGAAAAAACTTTGGAGATACTGAACACTGCACTTGATACCAACATAAAAGAAGAATATCTCAATGATTTGTATAGACTAGGGACACAAAGTGACTCCCCTATCGTCATTGAGTTCATATCCTTCTTGAACAAATCCACTCTATTCCAACACAAGGATAAGCTGTAGCAACTGCAATCTAAAGGTATAGCCATTGTTAACGATCAGTGTTCAGAAGACCGACAGAACCAAAAGTTGTTCAGAATTCACTTGAAAAACGCAAGATCCCAAAACTTGAAAGCCATTATCAAGGGGTCGAAACTGATTATCAACAATCAAGAATATAGCATTGAGGACTTAAAGAGAATTGAGCTGAGTTCGGAAACAGAAACTGAAGTCGGCTCAGAAGACGAACACTCGGTTAACAAACGAAGGAAGGTCAATTCAAATTTGAAGTATTCTCAACCAACATCGGTCACTATACGAAACCGCTAGTAGAAAATATCTCAACGCTCGAACCTAATTTTTCCCATTCCATTCAACTTTGTTTTCAATTTGTTCTTGTTTTTGGATTGGACA